TTGCCGACGCGGAGCGGAGCGGTTGCGTTTGGCGCTCTGATACATCGCGGCTGAAGATAATTAGTAACGAGCTTGATAGCGTTTTACGACGATGCTCGTCAAGAGACACGCTTAATTGTGAATCGTCAGAAGTGGATGCATCGCGGCATTAGCGCGGTGTTTAAAGGGGTGCATTTCCCGTACGTTTGCCGTGGGTCTTTGCGGGTTTCCGCCCGCGGATGCGCCACTTTAATTAGCTTTTCTTCCAACCGGTGTCTATCCTCGTCTTTCCACGACGAACGATCCTTCAGCTTAGCCAAGGATTCGAAGAGTCGCGTAATTGACACGCGAAATTGTCTCACGTGTTTGGCCACCGGTTTATTTACTCCGAAACTTTCGAGCGCTCGTCGGAGTTTCCGATTTCCACGGCACGGAGTTGCCGACAAACCGAATGGAACTTCCCCTCCCCGGCCCCCAGTCGGCAAACTCGAAAAGCAAAGCTTACGACATCTGAAGTCTTAATGGATATTTTGACAGGATAATTACCGCGTGGACGGATGAGTTTCGGGAAATTATCCTGAATGATTTTCCACGAATACGAAGAGGAATCGTAGATAAGGTCGCGAGAGAAAGAGTCGTCGATGTGCTGGCCGATAATCGGAGAACGTTTTAACGATACCGATGGTACTTTGATTCGTGAAAGAAGCTTAATCGATTCTGATCGAGCAATCTTATCGTTGATATCGAAAATTGCTGGATTATTGTAACGCTACACCTTTGTCCTGTGATATAAACGTTAACGAACAATGCATCGCGATCTGCCCGTATCAATTTCAGAGAATCGCTCGGAACGATACGTCGTTGTCTTTCTTGGCCGATGGTGAAAACACAGGTGAGGGAATTACGTTTTATTACAGCCAGTAGGGGAACAAGAGTGCCATCAAATCGTAACTACCTCTGTAAAATACGAAGTTTCAGCCCGTAAAGCCGGATTACGATACCCGGTAATTATCCATTTTAATTGCAAACTGTATCCGCTGTTATCCGAACGACTGTAAAAACGAACGCGCCCGGAGAGTACGCGCATTGACCCAGCGTTTTAATCCGAGATTTTAGCCGAAGATTATAAGTAATTACCTAATTATTCGCGCCAAGTTCGCGTCTTAAATGTCACGAGCCGGTAAGAGCAGCTTCTTTTCACGGACGAAAACAGGAGGAAGGGGAACACTCGCGAAGCTGTTGGAGCGCGTTTGCGTTTAAAGTTACAACCTCGAAGAAGTTAAATTACATAGCGCAGTCGGGGCACAATTACACAGCATGTTTAATGAATCGTGCTACAACTGACAAAGAGGTAATTGTTCGCGATAAAGCGACTAAAACGAGCGAGGCAGTTTTTACAGGCTGTCCAGCTTTCGAGAAGAATGATCCCGGCGACCTAACTATTGCGAGCCAGCCTGGAACATAAATATGATCAGCGCGGACCATTTATGCCGGAGTCTGCGTACTTTTTAAAAACGATATATCGTGGCGCGTGTAATTTGCGAGAACAATTTGGCGTATCAGTTACGCATACTCGGAATGCCTGAACGTTTAATCTATCTTTCCCGCTCTTTCTCCGCAATCGTTTCGAACGATCAGGGACATTAACGGCGTGGGGTAACGCGTCGCGTCCGAGTTACTCATACCCACGAGTTACTCACGCGAAAAAAATTTATTCTCCGTCGTTCGAAACGCATTTCCGCGAAATTTCGCATCTGGACCGGTCGCGGAATCGTTTCCTGCATATCTTCCCGCTCTCAAAAACGTCCGCCCGGCTTGTTCGTTAATGACCAACGACCAATCGGTCCGGTGTAACACCGTCACGAGGAAAGAACGTTCGAGCGCGATTTATTTTTCCGCCGAACGAAAGTGCGCGTATTTAATTTCGCTACAGAAGCGTTACCACATAACGCGGGTGTTGCGTAACCCGGCAAAAGAAAGCAAAACACTCGCGCCTTCTGTCCCCGAAATACATCGAGGTTGAGCAACACGACCGGGAGGAAGTGGTTCCATACGAAGCGTGCGGTGGTTGGTAACGACGTTGTTATCTCAGAAAAACGCGCAGATAAATACACAGCCGGTCGTGGAGACAGTGACGAACAAAAGCCGGTAGTATCGCGGCGACCGCCTGCACGTAAACACGATCGCGCGTGTGGTCAAGCGACAGAGGAACGATCGACGTCGTACCGGTCGAGTCGTGCCACGCGTTACAGGTGAAACGGATCGCGCAGGGCAGCGAGATCTTGCGGATCGATCGGTGAATCCGTGAATCGTGTTTGACGCGTGGTCAATGAAGGTAAACGTCTGGCTTCCATTATACTCTGCCTGTCTCGCGTGCCTGCGACCAGCCTGTTTTCCTCTCTCGGTGCGAACGCGAATCGTGTGCCGGCTGACGAAGGTACCCTCGTCGGTGTGAGTTTGCGTGTGACTGTGTGCGTCCCTGTACGGCGTAGAGCGCGCGCGGTGCTCGTCCGTGTGCGCGCGACAACGACATGACGATGGAGCACGAGAACGACTCGAGAGTGACGTTAAGGAGAACGAAGAGCGTGACCAGGGCCGAGGAGATCCAAAAAGCTGAACTGATGGTGCGCAGATCGCAGCCTGACAAACCGTGAGTCTCGTTTTTCCTCTCTGCATCACAGTAAACACGCTCCCGTGGTCGTGGTCGTGGTCCTCCCGGTGACTCGTCTCTGCCTGACTCGCGATTCGCCGACTCGCTTTTCCTCGCTATTCCCACACGATCGAGAGAGGTGCTCGTCGAAAAGACGAAATCCACGCCGACGAGAACACGATCGCACGAAATTTTCTGCTCTTCCTCGGCTACTCGGACGTAACTTGGACGACTTTAGGAGCAACGCGCATGCGCGTTTCGCCTTAGATCGAGCGCAACCGTGAACGCGTGCTCCCCACCTAGGAACGATGCATTCCGCTTCTCGTTTTAGCCCATGCTCGTCCACGCCGTTCTCCCGTGTGTCATGATCGATGCGGAGGTCAGTCGGTAGTGCGGTGTATTTCCTACAGCTCGTTTCATAACACCTACCCGGGTACTTAGGTCCGCGGTTAATGAAGCTTCCGTATAGGTGGTGCGAGACGTCTCGCGTTCACGTCGAGGCACCTTCCTTATCTGATAACGGTCAGGTTCTGCGCTTACGTAGCATCGCGATACGTTTCGAGCAACGTAACAAAAACAACACTCGACATTGACCGTTGAGACGAGGATAAATATTATTTTCTCCGGATAATACGATCGCGTAAACATTCCTCAAGGAATTCCGAGTGAAACCCAGCAAGGTTCTCGTCGAATTTCTCGTACTCTAACGTACGAGAAATTTTCTCGACCTAAATTTCACGAACTTCTCGGACTCGGCATATTTCGCTATCGTCGTAGAGTCGATAGGTTAAGATTTTATCGCCCAGGCCAGAATTTAGAACAGTGTCAAGGTTCAAGTAAAATCCAAGTCCGACGAGTTCGCTGTCTGACCACGACTATCTGATTCCACGTATTCGTCTCGTTCGGCTATGGTGACGCGTAAGCGATTGACGCAACGTCAGTCGTAGGGATTACGGTCCTGGTTTCTGAAAAATTACCTTGCGAAACGTTAGTCCGGATATCGGTGTGGACGAACGTCGGTTCCGGGCGTGTACATATCACGGCGAACCAGGAAAGTGACTAACGATACAGTAAATATTTGCAGCTACGCGGATGATTCTAGAAACGAGGGACACAGATGGGAATGAATGGTGCAAAGTTCATTCGGTAGAACGGACACAGGAGGACAGACAATTGAATGCAGCCTTGAGTGCACGTCGCGGAAACGAAAACTTTCTTAACGAGCCGTTCGCCTCGTCTAATGGAACTGCACGTCAAGAAAACACGGCCAGATAATTCGTTCGCCAGCTATGGCATAATTATCGAGTTTCACTCTGCCCCAAGATGGTGTATAGCTCCCTGGTCCCCGTTCCTTTGCAACAGAGAAACTTATCTCGATGCGAGGTACGCGATAACCGACAGCGATACTCGGGCTTCATGCTCGAAAACAATGGGAACGTCTGCTGAAGCTTCATTTAAAGTTCAAGCAAAGTGAATGACAATTAACTGTCCCAACTTCACGATCAATAAGATCTCGTTAGACGTCGTGAATAAGCAACGAACGTTTCGGGACGCGTTAATCAAGCAGTTCTACGCGTTCCTTTTTTCTCCCCGCTCGCGCTTTGCGTTTTCTAATAAATCAAATCTCCCTGTGTCCGCCCAACGCCGAATGAATCTTGATTACGCGTCGATACTTTGAACCTTCGCGTTCCGCGTTTTTAACGAATTGAAGAAAACGCCGAAGTGACGTTCGGACAACCCGGAGGCCGATTAAAGTCCTTTAAAACGAAAATATCGAACGCCGATAAACGTCCGTTGATTGGCTTCGCGATTAATTAATATCGCGTCGTCCAATCGTGGTAATTTACGTCGCGGATAAAACGAGGCTTAAACGCCTTATTCTTACGCGATCTCCTTCCCCGCCTTTTCCCCCGACACGCAATTCGCCAGATTTAAATATGCAATTATAAGTCACCTCGTATATCGCAGATCGCAGGAGAAACGCGGAGTATTCCGATGGCAGCTTAAGGTCGTTAATAATCCTGAAATAATGCTTGCTTTTCTTTGCTCGGAAGATTGTACGTACACGGAATTCCATCATGTTCAGCCGATAACGTTGTTGGTTTATGCACTGAATTGTCTCAAGATATATTTGCACGCTATTAGATTAGGGCAAGCTGATATATAAATAGCAATATATCAGGCTTAATCGTGGCGCGCTTCGGTTACACAAGCGGAAAGTCGTCCGCGTGTGAAGTTGATGGTATTTTATTACGCCGGCATTAGCATATTTCCGTAAATTTTATTACCGCGTTTCATATTCTATTCGTCGAAATTAATTACGTCGAATTACTTCGAATTACGTCGATGCGCTTCGCGAGTCGGCGGGATATCGATACCGTTTCGACGCAACGGTTCCTCGGATAACGTTAGTTGCGAGTGTACTTAACGCGTCATGCAAAATAACGTCCCCTTATTAATTTATGTAACGCTTACATATCGCGTATCGCCAGCCCGTTTTCGCGCTGGGAGAGAAGGAAAATGATAAAACGCCGCAATTGTGTCTTAAACAAGCGGGAAACGCGAGTCGAATTCGCGAGTAAAACTCTGGACCGGCTTAATAAGCAGGAAACAGGGGTTATCGACACGTAGCGAAACAGCGATACAGCCGCGTTTGATATGGAACGTTATGGTGCTTGTCGCGGAATGCAGTCGGAAACGGATTCTATTAATTAACCAATCAAACGCTCAAAAACCGCGCCCGGTCGAGCTACACAGACTCACGCACGCTTTGGGTAACGCGAATCGGAACAACAGCGTGTTGCGTATTCTCTTTGTGACAATTACAGAATAATTCCCATAGGCGCGCTCGGAACAAACCGCATACCTTTGTTCGCTGTAATTAACAATCTCTCGTCTGCCCTTCCACGCGAGATGCTTTCGGTAATTAATTGTTTTTCTTCTCTTCCTTCGATCGCGAGCGTTTGATCGTTATCGAGCCGCGATCGACAATGAGTCTTTCAATTGCAGTTATTTACGTAACGCCATGTTCAGAGTTCAAGGCTGACCGGCGCGGCCCCCGATAACGCCGAGTGATTAAAACGCGTACGAACAACCGTCGTGCCGCGTAATCGGTTCAATGACCATTCGATGCGTCGATTTTACCTCGCAGCTTTTCTCCTTTGCATTTTCTAAACTCTCCGACGAGCCTCGCGCGGCTGGATGCTCGGCGCGTTTGCCTCTAGCGCGTTCTTAATTAAAATGTTAATTTCAGTGACGAGGCAGGAACGCACAGCGATAAGAAAAATGGCTGTCGTAGATCAGCGGGATAACCGGATATTCTATCGCGGGAATACTTTCCGCGCACGCGCATCCGCGAGCAATGAAGTATCATAAATTCATGATTGGTTTACGGCGTATCCGATTCAAAACGCAGAGATTCCGTGATCCGCCGCGTTCTGCAATCGGAATCGTTGATCAAAGAATCCTCGAGCGTTGGCGAAAGTACCGAGGAAACGCTAACTCGCGTTAATATTTCTGGGTAAACAAAAAGGGAGCTCGGTGGCCCGAGAAGTCGGAGCAGCGGGCAAATTCCATTTGTCCAGATTTACGAAGTTTCGCCGGCGCGTGCGCCTATGGTATCTATCCATCGCGGGAAAAAATTTAATCAAGTCCTCGGTCTAAACGAGCGCGCGATAAAAAAATTAATGCGTTAAAAACGGGATTAAATCCGTAGGGGTATCGCGAGCAGAGGAGCGCAGAGGGAGTGGGTACTATTCGTCGAGATTTCAGAGATAAGAGAGGATCAGTGGGAAGCACGTTGCGAGTAGTCGTTGCTTCGAGAAGAAAGGGAAACGCGAGGAAAGGAAGAAAGGTACGTAGTCGCTCGACGCAGTGGTCATTTCCCGCAAGCGAACGCTAATTAGCGAGACGAGACAAACACCGGCGAAGGTTGATGATGCCATGGGGCGCTTTATTTTGGAACATATCCTTCCAGCGAGTTCCCCTTTTATCAGCGAGAGGTCGACTAGCGAAAAAACAGCGAAATCTTCTTCCCCCTCTTTGACATGTTATAATGACCTGCAAACAAGAGTCTTGGTTTTTTTCTCTCTCGCTCTCTCCTGCAAGGAACACCTTTCTACCTTCGGTTGTTTCTTCTCCCCATCTTCGCACCCCACCGCTTTCTTGCTCCGGGATCGTCCATTATGCCGGAGAATCAGAGATGGCATACCACTCTTCCGTCTCTTAAACAAACGAACCCTACTGTATTTACCCGTTCCGTGTTTGCCAGATACTTCTTGTTTTCGCCAACTTTGCAATTAGGCGCGAGCGCGTCTGGGTTCGTTGGACGCGGTGAATATCGAATGATCCTGCTACCCCTTTGGTCCAAGGAATTCACACGGAAAGCTATGTCTGGCTTGCACGATCTTTCAATTCTAGATTGATTTCAAAGTTTCCGTTTGCACGATCCTTCGATCCGAACATCCGACTCGCGTGTGTTTACTCCCAAATTGAATCTAATCCCCGACGACTGCCGCTCCGCGCCGAGACCGGTGTGTCCATAAAATATTCCTCCAACAATGTTCGTTTGAAAGGGAAAAAGTTCGTTATTCCCGAGGTGACACCGTCTGTAATTACACGTTACGTAGTTAGACGGCGAAGAATGTCATTAACGTCCAGTATGTACATTTTCCGATATCTCTGCCCCTGCCGTGAAACGACGTGCTATCGCTGAAGGGCAATAATCATCGGGTAATACGAAGTCGAACAAGAGACGTGTAACAATGATATGCCGGCTATGTTTCTTCCCCATTTTTTCCCTCCCGTATATCGATCCTCCCTCGGCCGTTGTCAGTCCATCTCGACGATTCATCCTCGTTCCGTGGACGGAGCTATACAGCCGTGCAGATATTTCTGTACCGGGGCTCTAACTGCCGGACTGCTTCCGCCGAGCTTCTGTACTCGATGCTCGAATGGCTAATAACTTCGTACGATGTTCCCGTGCGAGGGAGCAGGAGGCA